ATAAACCATGTGTTATCTTTTAATTAAATTGTTCGATGGTTGGTTTAGTTGGTAAGGTCCCTACTAGGGGTGGGCACGGTACGGTATGATACGGTATTGAGCCCGTATCGCTACCGATACCGGAAATTTAAATCGGTATGGTACGGTATGGGATTATCGTTTGTCAAAATTGGTACCGTACCATACCGTACCATGTCGGTATCGGTACGGTATCGGTACCATTTCGGTACAAAAATGACACAACTAAAAAATGAACCAATTCAATATTCAACATATTCATTTACCAAAATAAGTGATGCCTAAGTTACAAATTCAAAGATTCAACATATTCAATTATCAATATCCAAATCCTAATCAACATATTCAATATCCATCAACATATTCAATATCCAAATCAACCAAATCCTAATCAACATATGCAATATCCATCAACATATTCAATAGAAAATTATATATCTGAATAGTATTCGGTACGGTACGGTATTGATCGGTACCAAATACTTGATACCGCTACCATACCATACTCTATTGGTACGGTACGGTACCGAATATTGATCGGTACCGAATGAAACGGTATGAAATCGGTATGGTACTGTTCGGTTAGGGTACGGTTTCGGTATTTCGGTTTTAGATGCCCACCCCTAATAGAGCATATCTTAATTCGTAAAGCGTGACGAAACTTTGAATCCTAGAAAGAATATCTTCTCTCACGGCGAAAACTTTACAAAATAAATTATAGTATACAAAGAAGGATTAAACTACTAATAATATCAAACTGTTGCCATTTCATGGGTTTTTAATAGGGCCTCCATAATTCCTTATTTAAATGGGATTGGGAGTTCTCTTTATTTAATTGGGCTTTAATAAGACTTGCATAATTCCTTATTTAAGTGGGATTGTGAATTCTCTTTATAAAGGACCAATTTAACATAACCTAATTTTTTTACCCTCTGTTTGGTTGAAGGAATTGAAAATTACATAGAATTCTAAAATGACGGAATTTAGATTTCTATCATTTCAATTTATGGCAATTGAAAATTTCAGTGTTTTGATTTATGTATGTCGAATTTTGTAAACGACAGAATTTTGTAAATGGCACTATGAAAATTGTGAAATGACGCCTATTTTGGTGGAAATTAAACTCGGGAATTTAATACCCCAATTTCCACGATTTTTTCCGCGTGTCATTTAATAAATTCCGTGCTTAAGTTGCCAAACAAGGGAATTGTCAATTTCTCCTCTTAAATTCCCGAATTTCAGTTAAATTCCGAGTTATTTTCCCTCATCTAAACGGACCATTAAAGTGTGCGTGCATCACAAGAATCATGCGTTTTTTTTTCCTTCTTGAGTACACCAATCCAAAGTAAGTCGAATGCATATTTTCTTCTTCTTGAGCAAACGCCAATTTTGTTTATTCAATATGTTTTTATTTATTTATAGCTTTTGGTATTTAAAAATTGCATTTTCGCTGAAAAATTCCTGGGTCCGCCAGTGGTGAGAGTAGCCAATCTCCTCTTAAATTTTTCTTTATAAAAAAAAAAAATATTTTGTCATTCAGAGTTTCATGTTGGTACGTGTTTAGTGAAATTAAAATGCAGTGAATGAGGTGGGTCTTGACTATTTGAATTTCAATCTTGACCACAAGTCCTTTTCTCTCGTGTTGAATTTACTTGGGAAAAAACGTCTGGATGATCAGTTCATCATACATTGCTTAATGGTCTTTCCTAAGATGAAGAAATTGTCTTGTACAACAAGTTAAGCCTCCCAAAAACAAAACCCTCCTTGCTAGAAACTGATTTCCCAAGACTAATCGATGATATAGATGAATGAAAAATCACCTAATTTGGTCAACAAAAAGAGTAGTATATATAAAACTGATCAACTAACTTGATCTACAAAATGAATTTTCACATTTTTTAAACATATATTTTCTAAATTTCCTCAAATAAACAAAACCTTAATCAACTGAAAACAGACCTAGTGGTTTACCCATCATTGGTCCTTGAAAGTCAGAATCTCCAACTAAATTACAAACACGGCAGAATCTTCTGAACTTATCTCTCTCCATTCTCATTCGAATTTCTAGTGCTCTTCTCCCTTCGATCCTACCTACAAACTTTCGATAATTCTTATTCAGATTATTATTTATAAATTTTATTTATAAAGTTCATTTCTCCGTGCCATCAATCAATAAAGCCTATGTTCTTTTTCCCCCTTGCTGCAATCCCAAGGCTCAAATCCCAAAATAACTAACACACATCCCACAAAATCAAACCATGTTTCCGTTTGTGAGCTGCAACTCTTTCTTCTTCTTCTTGTGCCTCTGTATTCTCTGTTTTTCCCGCCCTTGCTTTCCCGCCAGAATCTTATCCAACTCAGTAACTGTCTTAACCGCCGCCTCCGACGTCCATAACGCCACGTGGCACGACTTCGAGAGGTTCCTGGATGCCGGGAGAGGGAGCCAGGTCAGCGGCATGTCGGAGCTCAAGAACTATTTCCACCGGTTCGGCTACTTGCCCAATTCCAACTTCACTGATATCTTCGATACCGATTTTGAATCGGCCCTGACGCTCTACCAGTCCAAGCTGAGCCTGCCGGTCACTGGCCGGCTCGACTCAGACACCATCTCGGCAATCATTTCACCGAGATGTGGCGTTAGTGACTCGTCGCAGCGGACTGCTCTTCATGCGACGCGTCGCTTTGCCTTCTTCAATGGAAAGCCGAGGTGGGTCCGCCAGAACCCTGTGACGCTTTCTTATGCTCTCTCCCCCAACAATATGATCAGCTACTTGAGCTCCTCGGACGTCCAAGACATCTTTCGCCGTGCTTTTTCGCGGTGGTCGGCGGTGATCCCCGTGAACTTCACTGAGGCGGAGACCTACGAGTCGGCAGATATAAAAATCGGGTTCTACCGGGGCGACCACGGTGATGGGGAGCCGTTCGACGGGGTGCTGGGGGTGCTGGCGCACGCTTTCTCCCCAGAGAACGGGAGGTTCCATCTGGACGCGGCGGAATCCTGGGCCGTTGATTTCAAAAAGGACAAGTCGAAGGCGGCCGTTGATTTGGAATCGGTAGCGACCCATGAGATCGGGCATGTACTTGGGCTGGCTCACTCCTCGGTCAAGGAGGCTGTGATGTACCCGAGTTTGAGTCCGAGGACCAAGAAGGTGGACCTCAGGATTGATGACGTGGAAGGGGTCCAAGCTTTGTATGGGTCAAACCCTAATTTCAAGTTTAGCTCCCTGCAGAGTGAAAATTCTTACAACCATGCAGTTGCTTTGGACACCAGATCATCTTTTAAGTGGGCAATTTCTTTAACACTTCTCATCACTTTGATGTTGCGTTTGGCCACATGAATTGGTAGCTAGCTAGCCTCCATTTTTTTTCTTTTAAATTGGTTTTATTTATTTATTTTTATACTCGTAATTTTTTTAAATGAAATTGTAGAAACAACAATACTCAAAGAAAGTAAAAGAATTCTTTTTATATCGTCGTCATGTGTTTTTGATACAAACGATATTATAGGAGGGGAAATTCGAACACAGAACCTTTAGTGCAAAGGTACGGAACTACAAGCCTTTGCATTATTGTCATGTGTTTGATTTGGGAATATGGTGACATGGATTATATTAGGATCAGAAACTGTAAAAACTTTTTTTATGGACTTTATGTTTGTGTATATAAAAGAAGACAGAAGGGGAAAAAAAGCCATAAAGGGAGAACAAAAAGAAAAGGTTAAGTATGAAAGTGGTCAAAATGGAGAACGAGAGGTCAATGGTCGTGTCTTAAGCTGTGGATTAATTAATCCTAGTGGGAATGTTATGTGATGAGATGGAAAAGTCCTACCTACCCAATTTGAATTCGGATTTGCAACTTCCTGGGAATTGCTAAGAATATATGCTTAACCCGAGATTGGGGGGGAACTGAAGGTATCACTTTCAGCCCAAGAGATAAATTGTACCAGTCTCTCACAGAAGTCAGAAGGCACATCTTAACGTGCATGGGAGGAATAATAAGCTTGCTGCAAAGGGAAAAGTAACTTGAACCAGACCATCTTGGCTTTAATTAAGATGAGTTTTAGACTTGACTAAAAGAAACATATATGAAAAATTAAGTAGATATGCCATAATGGATTCAAAGTTTTTTGTTTTTATTTTAAAAAAAATACAAGCGAAACTGAGAAAGAAGAAATCGATTGTCTGACATTGAATGCAGAGATAAATAGATTTAACCACTTGAGTTATAAGTTATTTTCAATTCATTTAAAGTTTAATACGGAAGATTCCGTGAGAAGAATGAAAGGAAAAGAATTGACCCCCCCCTAACCCCAAATGCCCCCTATAAAATTACAAAACAAGTGATGTATTCGTTTGCCATGGTTCACACATCCAGTCAAACTTGATATGGTTTGGATTGGAACATGAGAGTGCCATTAGGACCAGAAATCATGAGGTAGACTGACTTTTCAACTTCTAGGACAATGGGGTAGGCTTATTCATGCACTCCCTTATTACATAACAGTTTTTGTTCCAATTAGAATTTAGTTGTACAACATCTATTTATATTATATAGCAAAGCAAGTTGACTATCACGACTTGGAAATGCCATTATTTGATCTTCTTTTGGGCTAGTGGAAGAGGAACCATTTTAAAGTAGATTTATGCAGTGGAGTGAGATTTTAGTCAATTAACGAGCATGCAAAACCAAAACCAGCCACACCAAAAATGTATGAGCATTTTTTTTTAAGTTGGAAATATGATCCCAAAAACGTTAGGTATGCTAATAGAAAATGGCCTTAACTTGTAGACCATGTGTCTCAAGTTCGAACTTCCATAACATCTTAGTTGTGCGCGTGTGTAAGAAACTCATCTCCCTTGTGGTTTAGTACTCAAAAGAAGTTCGAATTTTTGATTAAAAAGACGGCATTGCTCAATCCTAAGCCCAACTAAAACTGAAAGATCAAAGCCCAAAAGATCTGTACCCAAGCCCAAAACCAATAACAACAAGCAGCGCATCTATTCACTGAGCTCATTCTGCTAAAACCCTAAACCCTTTTGAAAACCATTACTGATTACTCAGATCAGATCTCATTTGCTCGTTCAATCATTCCTTCACCCTCGAACCCCTGTAATGGCTTCAGCCTGCAGGCAGTTCGCCAACAGAGCATCCCTATCGTCCATCCGATCCTCCATCAGATCCAACGCCCCAAAATCTCCCACCTCACGCTTCCCTCTCCCGACATCCACTCCCTCTACTCCTCTTCGCCGCTCCTCACTCTCAAGGTCTGTGTTTTTCAGGGTTTCATATTCATATTTATTTATTTATTTATTTCTTAATTGTGATTTTTAACTTCTGGGTTTGGATTGTTGATGTGCGTTTTATTTGGGGCAGGCCTCCGGGTGCACTGGGATGCGTGCAATCACTACTGCCACTCCACAGCGCGGTGGCGGCGGCGAGAATGACGTCGTCTCTGAGCATCACATCGAGGAGTTGCCGTGCGCTCTCACAGGGTACTCTCTGCCGCACCTCTCCCGGCCTCTAATAAAAAAAAATTGCTTTCTTTTCTAACTGTGAGTCACTTTTGCTACTTCCACCATTGTAATAATTTGTAGTTCTTTCAATCCTATATCTTCTTTTTTGTGTTTGCTCACTTGGGTTCTCTTCATAATTTGATTTTGCCTCGTTGTTGCTGTTGAGTTTTGCATTGAATGATTCCTCTGTGCCCACCTGGTTATGATTTGTTGTCTCCCTCTCGAAATGTATATTTTTGTGTGGGCTTGAACTTGTAGACTGCCGTGCACAATTTAATAGATGGTTTGAGTCTTAGCATAGAAGTTTTACTTCTGAGTAACTCAAACTAGGTTGTTGTGTCTTTGAAAATATGAGCATTCTTAGAGACATTTCTCAATGTAAGATTGGCTCATTGGGTATTTTTTTTAGAGCTTGTTGGATGTGTCCTGGGAAAGCAATGAGGCTGTAGTTTTGAGAATAAGACAATTTGGGGCAATGAAAATGAGGGTCGAAATGCTTTTCATAGGGTATGTTATCTGACTGGAATATTTGGTTCCTGCAGGCACATAACATTATGCTTGAAAGAAATAAACTGGACCCGGTAGTTAAGACCTGCTGCGTCATTATCAAGTACGAAACTATGAGTTTTCCCTCAAAACCATAAAAATGTTTAACTATGTGGGTTTAGAGACTTATATTTCGCCTATGGCTTGATTTGTCACTTTTGATGATTGTACCAGCAGTTGCCACATTGTGGCCTCTGCGTTATGCGCATCGACGTTCAATTTTGATCCTTTTAGTTGTATCAATGACAAGCTAGGAATGTCTACCAATTAATATAGGATGGTATTATGATGAAAAGTTTCTATTAGGCTGTGGCACTCGTAATTTATCATATTCTAGCCATATCGCCACTGCTACTCCATCTGCTTTATATTGTCTATATATTTTGAGTTTGAAGTGAGCCTGTTGAGACATTCTACAGCAAATCCATTTTCTTGAAAATTATAACTAATGGGTTAAGTTTATTGCTAATTCGGCAAGATGATATAATCTAAAGGGGAGAGCAAAATAAAATTTTGAGTGCAAACATTTTGCCTTAAGTTTGTTGAACTTATATAGCATACCATGTCTAAATAAACAAGAACGCGTTGATAACATAGCTGCTCCTTTTCCCAGATGGAATTGATGGTACGTGACACATGTATGCTGTATATGGAGGTGGGCGCTGCCATTTATGCTCATTGTGTCTGACTTAAAACATTGAGGAAAACTAGATATATGTACATGTTGATCGGTTATTATTGGACTATGTTCCTAGCCATTTGTATTCTGAAAGCAAGCTCTAGTGGATGCTGGAAAGTTTTGCTTATTTTCTGTAGAACGTCCTAAATTGTCCACAGGATCACATTTATTGAGCTGTTTTAGTGGAGTCTTTTTTGATTGGGTCTTTTGATTAATAAAATTGGACTGGCACGATTTCTGCATTATTCTCCGAGTTATAGATGGCTTCACTTTATGTGTTCCTAATTTGAGTCTTTGTATTCTTTGATGATCCAGAGCTTGGTCTGTCAGTTCCAAGGTGATTCGCAGCAGGCTGTGTCACCATTACAGGAAGTTAGCTTCACAAGAATGGAAAAGCAAAGATTTTGTAGTTTTATTTATTCAAACTCATTCACAGCACTGAAGCTAAATTCGATTCTTCCTACAAGATAGGATGTTAGTGGTTGTTAAATAATAATTCAGTTGGCTTGTTCAATACTAAATTTTTATGCATCTTTGATTTGGAATACAAGTCCATGTCTTTCCAGACATCCTGGCCACCTTATGGCGAGCATACCATGCTTGATGCTATTACTTCAATGTTTAAATCGAAACCCATGTAATCTTAAGGTCAGCATTCTTCATATTGTTGGACGAGGTGTAATAAATTTGGTTTCATGTTTTTGAGTGGTGTTTTCTCACCATAATATACTCAATTGTAAGTGTCAAATTCATCGTAGCCATGGCAGAATGCACAGTAATCGAACAAATCTGTACCAAAGTCTTCCTGCTTTCAACCGGCATGTCAGTGTCTGTTCTATTTGTTGCGTTCTTCACAAGTGAACGATTAACCAGCGTTCATAGCTCCTGAAGGCTGAAACAACCATGCTTGCACGTGGAGCGCCCAATCATGGAGTGACTGATTTGCCTAGCTGTCAAATTTCAGATAAGATTTTCATCCAATCAAATCAAGCCATGTGGCATCTCTATCTGGCCAAAATTTTCTATAAAATCAGAGGCTCAGCTCATACCTCTCACACCACATCTTTCTATATTTTCATTTATGAGAGTTTAGAATTCATACTCTATTCTCAAATGGAAGATTTTAGGAGATGCTTGGAGAGGCAAGAGCGAGAAACAAATGAGAGAAGCCGTAGAGCAGATGAGAGAAGCCGTAGAGCAGATGAGAGAAGCCGTAGAGCAGATGAAAGAAATATGTTGCAATTTTTCACCACTTCCCAACATACATGATGGTTGAAACTTTTTTTGCCTTGCCCAATTGCACCAAACCACATCTGTGCTTGAATCATCTATTAAAAAATAAATAATGGACATGCAAGAAATATTTAAAATATATTGGATATGCAAGTAACAAAAAAATAATAATAATGAAAATGCAATCAACCTTACAAATATATTGGAAGTGCAAGAAATATTAAGAAACAATTGGAAATGCAAGAAATATTAACAAAATGTTGAAAATGCAAGAAATATTAACAAAATATTGAAAATGCAATAAACATTAAAAAATATATATATATTAGGACATTAAACTTAATAAAACGAAAATTACAAAATACTTACCTCGTTACTAAGATTTTCCCTGCTTCTATGGTTGTCTATCGCTTTTGCTAAGACATCCCTCCATTTTCCCAACTATTTATTGAGAATTTTCCACCTACTAAACAATGCCATTTCCGTAAGAGTCGACCCCGGAATTTTTTCACAAAATTCGGCATGAGTTTTGTTCCACATATGAAAAAAATTTCATCTCATTACCTGACACGAGACAATGACAAATTTGGAGCCAAGCCTCACATAAGGAAACATCTTCCATGGTGCTCCATGCCCCTCCGGTTTCGATAGAAGAAGCCATAAATATAAGAAATAAAAATACAATTTGAAAGAGAGGAAAATGTTGAGTATAGAGTGAATAATAGTAGAAGTAGAAGAAAATGTATGATGATTGGTGTTGAAAGTGAAGGGTATTCATATGTATTTATAGAAAAAAAAAATCAGAATATTTTGGTTTTTTTTATAAAAAAATTCAATTTTTTTTTCCATAATTTTATTGCCAAAAAATGCCAGCCGTTGGATTGGAGGAGGAGAAGCAGATCGGAGTGCCCAGGCCTTGACACCTGTCTTCTACCCGTTGGAGCTTGCGCAGGGCTAATGTTAGCGCACACGAGTTAAAATTTTTTTTACCGTTGGAGTTGCTCTAAGAGTCTTGATTGAATACCACTAGATTTTAACACTTTCTTTTAAAAATCTTAATAGTCTTAATGGAATACCATAAGACTTGTTTAGATTATTTAAGTCTTAATTAAATACCATAAGACTTATTTATCCCAAAATAGTCTTTTAAAATCCCAATTAAATATAATCAAAATGTAGCTGATATTCCTCATATGAGTTTGTCATTCTTTTGGGTCTTAGTTTGTGATTGTGCTATTCAAATTTACTATACTTTTTAGATCTAGAGAAAATAAATAACCAGTTGCCGACAAAAATCTCTAAGGAAAAGTTACTTTTTGGTTATTTTGCATATAAATGGGATATGACTAGCTTTTTTGCTCTGTAATATATACAACAGTTCTGGATTGTGATATAAAATCCGAACTATATATTCATTCAAACAAAAATATATCTAGTCAATTATTCAGAATAACTGGTTCTTGAGCTGAAATTTTGTGCATAAAAGCCATCAACATGTCTAATGGCAAACATTGGCAAGAATTTCAGCTGCACGTATTATATAGTGTCACGAATTTTGTTTGATCAAGTTGATTCACTCCATTGTTTTGTCTCCACTTTCTTGATTGATGTTTAGATTAGGGTTGGCTCTAGAGCAGGCCAAGTGGTAGTCTCTTGGAATTCTGTGATTTTTAAAATGTGGAATTGTGTGAGACTTTTTAGTGTTATGTATAAATACCAAACTCTATCTCAAATCCTACCCTAAGAGCATCTTCATTGCAAGGGTGTAAAGGGAAATGTAAAGGACATTTACACTCAAGAGTCGCCGGAAGTTGCTCCAATAGTAGGGTTTAATTGATTGTAAATATAGCATTGAGCCGGAAAATGTACAAAAAGAAATGGACATTTACATCTGATTTTACATTCCCATTTCTTGAGCCCAACAGGTTGAAAAGGAGGAGAGATAATGCAAAAGTGGTGGGCTCCAAACATATATACGGTAAGATAGCTACCAAAATATCATAAATATCTTTTTGCATCAACTTGATATAAAATCATTTCCTCTCATGTCCTTTTTACATCTCCAATTTACATTTATCTCATTGGAGAAAAAACGACATTTACATCTTTCAAAGGTGTAAAGGAGATGTAAATGTGGCTTTACACCTCCAATTTACACCTCTTGCAATGAAGATGCTCTAACCCATCAGATTTTTGATGTGGGATTTTTTTCTTTGTTGAAGAAGATGAACACTTTGAACCCTATCTCCGTTGAACCTTTCCACTAGGGAGAGCTCTAAAGAAAAGTAAACTTGCTATTTTTTTTAGGTGAGACCCAAGGGTATCCACCGCCGACAGCAGTGACTAATCCCTTTCGCCGCGGGAGCTCTCCCAATGGAGGTAAACGGCTGGCCGCGAAATGCGCTCCATTCCCATGGGCGGGGATCGAACCCCCAACCTCATGGTTAAGAAATGAGGTGAGCTACCACCACACCACATCTCATGGTTGTAAACTTGCTATTTTAAATTCATGATGATTTTGTCTTCTGCTGGGTATTTGTTCTGTTTTATTGTTATATTTAACTCCTTTTGTGGTCAATTTGACTGAATGTGTAGTTACATCCATTATTTATTTCAAGCTAGTTCTTTATTCTGTGTTTGGTTGCCGAGAAAACTAAGGGTAAAACCCGGAAAGGACCAAAGTAATTCTTAATTTTAATCTTTGTTATGTGTTTTGTTATTCAAAGTTTGTGAGCCTTTTTGGAATTGAAAATAAAAGCAAGCTATAGAATAAAGTAATTGCTGGTGCAATAGAGATACGAAGGGAGGAGAAATAGAGATGAAGGAAAAGGAAGGGAGGAGCGGCACGGTACTGCCGACTGTTTTCTTTTTCTTTTTATTATAATAGGTAAAAATTGAAAGTCAATTTACAGCTGTACAAATAGCTTCAATTTTCTTTTCGAAAAAGACACGGGGCAAACTTTGAATGGAAGTATCGTGGTGAAGATTACGGATAGTTAAATTCATTTGGTCCCTCCAAATCTTATAAGTCAAGATGGTGGCCAAGTGTGTGTGTGAGAAATCCTATAAGTCATTACATTTTGCTTAATTTCACGAGACTTTTCTATTCTTAAATAGTCTTTTAAAGTCCCAGCTGAATACACCCTCTAAATTGAAGACTATACTTGTTACAATTTAAGGCAACGACGTTGAATTTAGTCATGTTCTGGTCATTGATACACTACAAACTGAATATCTTACGCTAAAAAAAAAAATGTTAAATCACTAGTCTTAATCTCATTTATAAGGCAAATAAAAGGGAGGTAGAACAAAGAGGTCGACAGCCATCAACAAATGAGCTGGCTAAACTATTTTCTTAAGTTTGATTTTTGTGCTTCTGCAAAAGCTAAACTGAAAGATTATTGATCTAAGTGATATTTTTAGTCGGTAGGTGCAACGTGGAAAGCGCTTGTCCACCAAAAAGTCCTTTATTTTTTAGAGAGAAAATTTAGCAAATGAGATCCGATATGGTAAGAAAACATACACAAGCAAAAATCTAGGCACATAATTAAATTTAGGTTTTAATTATTGTTTTTCCCTCTACTCTTCAAAATCACAGGTTCTCCCTTAATTTTCTTCCTATCTCACTTACCTCCTTTATGTTTTTCTTTTGTGTCTTAAGTTACCCCGTTATGTTAAGTTTGTCCCGTTAAATCTTCCTCGGTGGCACGAATGAATTATAATTTTTCACTTAAGAGAATGAAGTTTCTAACTCACACTAAACTCCTTTGACAGCAAACTTAATAAAGTTGGATAACGTAAAACAACAAAAAGTAAGGGAAAATTAAGAATTCGTGAAGAATACGAGGGGCAAAACAATAATTAATTCTTAAGTTTATTAAAATGAGGAGAAGAAAACTAAGATAGAATTTTTGGGGGGTAATTTTAAAAACAGAAGCACTTAACTTATTATATTTTTTCTAAAAAAGGACAAAGAGAGATTCCCATTCACCCGAAAGGACGGGAGAAGACTGGCTGATAGAGGAGAGATTAGAAAGTCTCAACCCCCATGAACGTTAGCTGAATAAGGTTGATGCGAAAACTGAAAAAATTAAAGACAAAACCATAACAGAAAGGACGGCAAAAAACCAAACCGAAAAGATGAAAAACCAGGGGAGAAGATGAAGCATTAATATATATCTTGTCACTTTAACGTACGATATATATATAATATTCTATATACTTGGGAGAGACAAATCTCAGGCCTAATTGGGTTCTGGGTTTTGTTTGGTTTGGTGAGAGAGGGCACAAGGAAAATATGTTGGTGGAAATGTTTAGGATGAAGAGGGAGGTGGTTGAAGATGTTGCAATAATAGGGGGATTGGTAGGGGTGCAATTTGTGTATGCTGGGAATTCTGTGTTGCTGAGTTATTTTATGTCTTTGGGGCTTGATCCTCTCACCATTGTTATTTTCTCTACCTTGGCCACTTTCATCATCCTCTCTCCTATTGCTGCTTTTTTT